ATCGATTCCGGCGTCCGGCGAGCGAGAGGCGTCCTCACCTCCGCTCCTTGGGATCCTCCCCGGCGCGGCGGTGGGCGTGGCGGTGGGCGTGGCCCTTCCCTGCCAGCTGATTCCCCTTGCCTCTATTTTCTATCCGCTTAAAACTAGCGGCTTGAGTAGTACTAATAATTTATCTTGTAATTTTAAAAACTAAAGTACAATATATGAGGGGAAATTTGAAAGCGTCCTTTCACCAAGGATTTTAACTATCTTGCCTATGATAAGCTTGTTAATTATGCCAATATCTCCCTTATGCCAATTTTTTCTTCCAAATATTTTATCAATATGATGCATATCACATTGCGAATAAAGCGCGGCAGCAGGACTATGATTACATATTTTAAACTTGTCTATAACCAGAAAATAAACAGATTCCCCCTCCCCCTAGATAATGTAAATGAAAATGTAATTTTTTGTACAGATTGTCTCGCTCGGCATAAAAAAAGACATGCTACAGATATGGCACTGCGCTAATTGAATTTTCATATCTTCTTGAATAAACAAAAATGAGATTGAACAGGAAGTCAATATAAAAGAAAAACGTTGCATAATTACAGCAGAATAATAAATCGCGCCTGTCTCTTTTTACAAAAATGAACATATTCGTTACCTACCGTCACCCCAAAAAGCAAAGACAAATGAATCCCCACACTTCTTCCATTCTATCGACAGTTTCTCATCAATCACCAAGAAGAAAACATACAACATATAATACTACAATGTCCAAGATTTTACTCTTACAGAACAGACCTGATGGAAGCTTTAAAAAGAATCAAAATAAATAATCCTAATATACACTTATTACTCCCAGGTGCTGATCTCCCACCAATAAAGATGTACTACATTTTAAGACACACAAAAATATTCCTAAAGAAAACGAAACTAATAGAAATAATATAAAGAAAAGAAAAAAAAAGGAGAAAGAAAATAGATCCAGGGGATATAGATTGGACAATAGTCTAAAACCCTATAAAAGAAGAAAGAAGAAGAAGAAGAAGAAGAAGTTTCTCATCAAGGGCTCCAAAGAACAGAAAAACCTTATATATATATTTTATTTCTGAGTTGCTCCCTACGCTCTTTCCCCACCATAATCAGAAGCATAAAGGACCCGCGCCGTTCCCAATAGTCCTCCCTGAAAGCCAGCAATGTTTACCGTCTTCTCTGCTCGCACCCAGCCTCGTGACGTGACCTGAGGAATCCAATTACGTTTGTCAAGTCCCTTCATCTTATGACTCTTGCTGCCTATCTTTGACTTATGACTCTTGCTGCGATCTCTGCCCCATTCTTCTGAGTCACCTGGTAAGCGGAGGGATATTTATATTGGTCGGGATAAGGTGAGGTTACGGCTGACTCCCTGGTGATGGTGGGGTTCGAGTGAGAGGCACGTCTGCAGGGCGAGTTTTTTGAGGTTTGGGTTTTTTTAGTGCTCTATTTTGGCAGGAAAACTAGGACAAATACTGTGGTGGGGATCTTGGATGTGTTTGTTCTATATCTGTTTTTTCGTTTATGTTTAAAGTTTCTGAAGTGCATAGGTTACAATGTGCCTTAATGATGGAGTGACATAAATTTTTTTTCCTCTTTATATATATCTTGCTTTTTTGTATACTTTTGGCCTATTTGGAAACAAATACAGACATTTTATGTATTGTATTGATTATTGGCATTATTGCTGTATCGCCTGATTACGATGGCTGTAAAAGAACACAGCAGGTGGATTTTATTCCTATGTTTCCCTTATTAATTTTCAAACAGTTGTAAATCACTTGATTCATAAGAATATATGGACGTATGAATTAATGAAATGGTAACTCGGGAAACTAGATTTAGGACCAGATTTTTGAGCTTTGGTGTGCAGTAGAGTCCGATGTGATGCAACTGCCTCTTATCATCCAAACATCTGGTTTAGTTGTTTCGAAGCATATTTTAAGGTTGTAACTTCAGCAGACAAACCTGAAGTAGGAATGGAATTAAAGAGAATGCATTAAGACTTATAATTAGAGATAATTTGCTTTTATCATATCATTTGATTTATAGATAAATTAAATAATTGATAAGATGAGTGTCAGTTCTCTGGTTGTTTGTTGGATGGAATGAAAAAGAAGATTGGTTGTAAATTTAGTTCGTTTTCTGTAGATTATCAGTTGTCTTATTTTTGCTAAGCCTAGCGTGTCATTGAGAGGAAATTGTTTGTTACATATGATGTTGTGATGTATGATGTTACTTATCAAAAGTTTTATTTTCTTATTAGGATATGATGTGCTCAAAGCCTATGGTTTTAGGCAAATTTTTTTGTTTAAAGTAATGATTTTGTTAAAATGTCTGTCAAATCGTTAGTTATTCGTGCTAGCATTTTATCATTAGGTATTCGTTATTGGGGTCACCTTTATCTCTTGCGAATTATTTTTAATTTTTATGAATAGTGTTGTTTGTGACTTTTAATTTATTTTTTCTTTATCTCCAAGTGGTCCTATTATAAGTTCTTTCTGTACTTTGGAAATAGTTTGACTCTTTACGAAAATCAGTAGTTAACCCATTGCCGCCGGGAATGGCATGTACATACATGCCATGCCCACTGTGAGTCGACTTGTTTGATTGTTTTTACACATAGATGGCTACACTTGTACTAAGTCACCAATGAGCCAATTATGAGCACTGCTTGTCTCGCCCGTTCACCCTTTTCATCGATTTATGAAAATATTTAACGTTATCCAATTCAAGGAAAGGTGAAATCAGGACTAGCAGAGCCATCTTTGGACAGAGATATTTCACAAAAATATAAAAAATGAGTACTGCATTTCCCCCATTTTTGTTCATTTTCCCCAGCGGCAATGGGTTAAACTGTCTCTCTGCCAAAATAAATTGCTAGAAATACTGAGTCTATTCATATTGTCCCATGAATTGTCTTACAAACACACACACACACACACACACACACACACACACACACACACACACACACACACACACACACACACACACACACACACACACACACACACACACACACACACACACACACACACACACACACACACACACACACACACACACACACACACACACACACACACACACACACACACACACACACACACACACACACACACACACACACACACACACACACACACACACACACACACACACACACACACACACACACACACACACACACACACACACACACACACACACACACACACACACACACACACACACACACACACACACACACACACACACACACACACACACACACACACACACACACACACACACACACACACACACACACACACACACACACACACACACACACACACACACACACACACACACACACACACACACACACACACACACACACACACACACACACACACACACACACACACACACACACACACACACACACACACACACACACACACACACACACACACACACACACACACACACACACACACACACACACACACACACACACACACACACACACACACACACACACACACACACACACACACACACACACACACACACACACACACACACACACACACACACACACACACACACACACACACACACACACACACACACACACACACACACACACACACACACACACACACACACACACACACACACACACACACACACACACACACACACACACACACACACACACACACACACACACACACACACACACACACACACACACACACACACACACACACACACACACACACACACACACACACACACACACACACACACACACACACACACACACACACACACACACACACACACACACACACACACACACACACACACACACACACACACACACACACACACACACACACACACACACACACACACACACACACACACACACACACACACACACACACACACACACACACACACACACACACACACACACACACACACACACACACACACACACACACACACACACACACACACACACACACACACACACACACACACACACACACACACACACACACACACACACACACACACACACACACACACACACACACACACACACACACACACACACACACACACACACACACACACACACACACACACACACACACACACACACACACACACACACACACACACACACACACACACACACACACACACACACACACACACACACACACACACACACACACACACACACACACACACACACACACACACACACACACACACACACACACACACACACACACACACACACACACACACACACACACACACACACACACACACACACACACACACACACACACACACACACACACACACACACACACACACACACACACACACACACACACACACACACACACACACACAATTGCTAGAAATACTGAGTCTATTCATATTGTCCCATGAATTGTCTTACAAACAAAAAGTATGAATATATATAGATATATGAAGATATAGGAAAATAAATGAACTTCAGTATTTTCGAAAACAAGTATCAGTGATGATATACTGCCAGAGATTGGTAAATTTTGACAAGGGGACTGTGTGGAGATCAAGAAAAACTTAGATAATGCACTTAGTATACCAATGAAATAACACTACTAGGTATAGAAAAGAGTCTGCTTAAATGTAGTAGACTAACTCCATAATACCTTATTGAAGAGAGACCTGCTGTGAGTCAAGTGCTTGCCATGGTACATCGGCAATGACTCATCAAAAAGGATGACAAATATTTACCATGTATATTTTCGCAAGGTAGAGCTGGTCATTTGTCATCAGGTAAGGAGCTAGTCCGAGCTGAATATATGTGATAGAGGTTTGTTCACCCTCATTGGGATAAAGGTTTGTTCACCTTCATTGGACCCCTAAAGGCATGCTTATATACATGGATAAATATTGTCTCTTGTGGATGTGGTCAT